CTAAGTGTCATCTCTGAACCAGAATTATGAGTAGGCTCCCATGTAGGCTGGTCCTGCTCCTACATCTGGGTAAACCATCCATAGTTTTAGTAGGAATTAACCCAGCTTCACCCTCTTATCCTTGAGTGGAATAATGAGTTCAAGCATCACTCAGGAGGAATAGATCTCTGTCCACCACTCCAGCAACTGGAAACTGGGAGTAATAAGGACTCCCATGCCCCACAAGGAAAAATGGGGGGGGGGGGTAACTTACATTGGGGAATCCCAAGGAATGATGCTCCAGAGACAGTGCAATAGGTGAACCACATTCTCTAATTTGAAAAGCAAACTTGATTTATTCAGTCCAGGGGTCAGCAGAGATTTACAAAATCCCCTTATTCTTTACTCATCATAGTCCATGAGTGGCAGTCCAGTAGGGTATATAATTGTTTACCACCTTGAAAGCCGCAAGGTGGTCTTACGGAACACCCCATCTCAAAAAAGCTCATTGCTACCAGAAATTTTTTGTAATGCAAAATAAAGAAAATAGACAACAAACTCAAGACCCAATAAGACAAGTCTAAAAAAAAAGAAATCATCTAAAGCATAAATATAACTAAAGTTACTTAACACTGAAGAGGAACTTGCAGCAAACATGTAAAAACTGTCATCATAATGTTCTGCTGTCGAGAAAAGTGAATAGGAAGTAATAACAGGGAGCTTGTATATAAATCTTGGATAGGGGTACATTGACATAGGTGGAGAGAATCATAAGATTTAACTTGCTATGTGCAATATAATAGAGTATAAAGCTGCAGCAAATGAGGTAAGATTCATACCAATGCTTAGATGGGCAGAGAAGAGTAACTTTCACTGGGAAGATATTAACTGTAATTTTTCTTTCTTTACAGATTGATAATAGTTACACAAGTGTTACAGTGAAATTTAGGCCCTTTTAAGATACACATACCATGATGAGTAGAAAGAATTGTCTGCAGCTGAAATAAATTGATTACTTGAAATTTATGAAAATGACTTCTGGAGATGAGTTTGGTGATGTAGAAAATATTTTAAGACAGTGAAAATTCCAAAACTGAACATATTGTATGAATATAATGAAGATGATAGTGACAGCAGCTCTTCAGATTCAAATTCTGATGTTGAACGTGAAGATGTCATTTTGTCAAGAGATGATACCATCTGGAATAAGAATCCACATATTCATAGAGGGCATAGAATTCGACAAAATACTTTACGTGTAGCTCCAGATCTAACAGATTCCAGTAGAAACTTATCAAGCCCCAAAGAAGCACCTGATGTTCTATTCACTGAGGAAATCCTTGAGATCATAAAATATTCAGAAAAAAGAAGCTATTCAAGAAAATGTTGAGAGGATTTGTGGGAAGTAGTCAATTCAAAGTGTAGGGGACAATGATAGAACATTTTATCGATCAATCTTCATGGCAACTATGAGCACAGATGCTTTAAGAATGTTCTACACTTCATCAGAACAGATGATTGTGAAACAGAACACCAAAGAAGAGCTGCAAATAAACTGGCAGTGATAAGGGAAGTTTGGGAAATTTGTACCCTAAACTGCTGTCACAGCTTGATACCAGAAACTATTATGTGCATAGATGAACAACTGCTTGGGTTTCATGGCAGATGTCCATTCATGGTTTACATGAAAAGTACACCTGACAGATATGGAACAAAGATATGGGCAATTTCTGAAAATTCTAGTGGCTATGTATGGAACTCCCAGGTCCACACTGGTCAATGGGTTCAAATTAATAAACAGAGCAAGAGAAACAAGTGGTGCTACACATGGTACAAGGATGTGAAGTAACACATGATAATTTTTCCACATCAGTTAAATTATATGAAGAATTGTTCAAACATGGGAAAACCCTTCTTGGCACAGGAGGGTTTTTCCCATGTTCTAACAATTCTGCAATAGACAAAATAGGAAAGAAGTACCTAAAACAATGTTTAACATCTTCAACATCTAAGGCAGTGCACTCATCCATGTTTTTATTCACAGATAACTTGACGATGGTATCTTATGCCCCCTTAAAAAATACAGCAGTCATCACGTTATCTAGTAAGCATCATGATAACCCTGCAAGCACACAGGAACATGCCAAGCCTACCATAATCCTAGATTATAACAAAGGTGCTGTAAACAGTGCTGACAAAATGCTGAAAGAATTTTCTTGCCACAGGACTTCCAGAAGATGGCTATTCATGCTTCTAACCCACATTATCAATGCTAGTGTTTTGAATGCATTAATTTTCTACAAGAAAAGATATCTGGACAACACTATAAAGAGAATAAAGTTCATCAAAGAAGTGGGGACAAAACTAGTAAAGACTGCTATAAAAACAGTAGAAGCTTCTTCAAGAGTGGGCATACCACTGTTAGTGCAAAAAGCCATGGAGGTAGTTATTAGACCTCTTCAGCAGTTCACAACTCCATAGACTGCTTTGTCAACAGGCAGATTAAAAATGAACTGATATGGCTATTGTCAAAAGACAAAAGGTATACAGTTAAATGTACTCAGTGTGGCTACTTTATTTGTCCTGAACACATAAATAGCTAAGTAATCAAATGTGAGAACTGTATAATCTATGAACTTGAAATTGTAAGCAAGAAAATTTGTATTTGTTCTTACATATTTTGTACCAATCATCATTTTTTGTGATCCATTTATTAGCTACTGATTAGTTCAATTCCTTCTAGAAGTGTTTTTAGTTAGTGTTTTACATATGTTGTTCTAATTTTGCATCTTCTTACAAGAGTTTTGTGAAGAGTTCAGTTGTTTCTCAATAAACAATTATGATAGTATTTTATCATTCTTTTTTTTTCATCTCAAAATGTTGCCCTTGATATCATTCACCCATTTTGTAATCCCAAAACTAACTCTCAACTTTAAAATATGGATTATAATTTATAAAAAAGGATGTGGTCTTTTCTGACTCCATTTCAGTCAAAAGTGAACATGGAAACATTTTAGCCAGAGGACTAATGTTAGGCTTACGACAAGTGGACTTGCAAATTTTGATATCTGAGATTAGAATTCTTTTGTATTATTCTAAAAATCCTCTATTTATAGAAGTACTGTTGCAATAAAGATATTAATCTGAAAGCAAATGTCTTGCAGGTCTCTGCTAGTAAACCATAATAAGCCAATAAGTTCAAAAAAGGGCCACGAAGAAATCTTGGTCATGAATAATTTAAATAGGAGGAAACCTGCTTCTTTTTTTCACTCCTGATCCTCAGCATTAATAACTGTAACAGCATACCTCACAAGAATACAGGAAACATGGCATGAACAAAGAAACAAATATTTAATGGCTCAGAAAATCACTTAAAGCAAAACAAAAACTATAATCTATTAAGTGCTTGCATAAGGCCAGAACTAATACCCAAGAAAGGTGTTGAATCAACCTGAAGTGCAGCATGAAGTAAATATTCCTTTGTCCGCATAAATATTATCAGAGATGAAAGTGTCCCTTTCCTAAAAATCCTGAAAATAATCGAAGCCAAGTAAGGGGGTCCGGCACCCAAAATCCTGCATTTTGATGCATTTTAGTACTTAAAATTCACTTAAACAGGTTACCCTATTTTTCTTAC